TGACTTGTGGTGTCTGGCCTCACTGTACAAAGGTCCAGCCTCGCAGAAACATCTTTTAGTATTGAGCGTTTCTGGACCATGACTGTTGTCACGGTACTCTGAGGCCATTCACCAGCATCATACTAACACAGGTACAGGGAGAAATTGCAGTTGTTCTGTCTCTTCCAGCCATGAATATATCTATTCTGAAACATTTTGCTTAAACTGGTTCAGTTAGAAACAGCTTAATTCACCCCCCAAAAAAGGGCCTTCATGTCGGATTCATTGTGTGAAGGGTAAAACTTGTAAGTGGTATCATATGTGATTAAACTTTGCTATGTAGGCATGTGCAAGATAAGTAATTTCTAGCTGAGAGAAACTGGTTTATTCAGCTGCTTGAAAATTCCTTCAGACTTGATGGAAACCTGCTTGGCTGCCTTCGGCATCTACAGGAATGCTGCAGTATCTGTTCATCAGCTTTGTGGGAAACATATCCAAATGATGATTGAAAGTCATGGGATGTGTATTTGAAGTGAGAATGATAGGAAAGACTTGAAATAAATATACTGCCATTTTTGATCAAAGCAAATTGAAAGATAGAATGATCAGGGTGTCTAATTAAGTGATTTCCCAAGAGTTTGCCATACACTTGTGTAACATAAAACCTAAATTTCTAGGGTTGCAAACTTTGGGAAATCAAAAATAGTTTTACTAACATATAACTGAAAGCCCTGACTTGTGTTTTAGGGAAGAACTGTTCTTAGCTTGATGAAGCAAAAAATATATTGACACTTTTCTCCAAACTACCATTCTTTTCTGGTAATAACCTGGATTTCTTGTTTTAATGCCACATAGTAGCAGTATTTTGTGTGCTATATGAGTTGCTATATAGTTTCCTGTGTGATCTGCAGCTACTCCAGAGGGGTGAGAGTCTTGAGTCAGACCTGCCGGCAGCTTGCAGATATCTTGGATAGTTTACAGCATGTTAGCTATGTATGCAGAACTGAAGTGCAAATGTCAACTTCAGAGTAATCTGGATCACATTTTAGGGTTTTTGACTATATGACTAGATATCTGTGACTATTAGAACAGATTTTGTGTACAGTTCTGTATTTCTGCGTTCCCTTTTGCTAGAACAAGTTGTGAATTAGCAGGTACCAAATTTAAATTCATAGTGGTTAACGTACAAATCTAGTATTGATCTGATTTGTTGACTTTTCTCTGGCACTTCAGTCTTCACAGAGAATGTGAAGCAGAATGTGGTCTATCACTATCTTCAGTTTCTTAAAATGGGAGGTCATGCATTGTTTAAAATCCAGTTCCTGCTTAATAATGAATGAATGCTGTTCAGTGTTCTTTCTGAAATAAATCTGTGATTTTTAATTCAAATTCTCGGGGAGTTGCTTGCTCCAGGTAATATAAAGTCAATGTCCTGTTTCCCATCTTTGTTATTCCCAGCACAGAGGTAAAGGAGTTGAACTGCTTTTTAACATTCCAGAGTTAGTTATTGGCACATTAATGGATCAGCTAGGATAAATAAGATAGTACAGTTGTATGCTACTCATTCCAATCAATAAATATCTGCTCCTAAATCTTATTTTCTGATACTTTTCACCAGCAGTGAAAATTACAACTGGTGTGTGTGTGTGAAAAAAGTCTGTCTGAATAACTGCATACCTTTTTTCCTCACTTATCTGAGAGTTATGATGGAATACAGAATCTTCATCTCCAGGTTAACATTTGCACTATTTTGCAACATAGTATGTTGTTTCAGTGTCAGGTAAACTGCAAAAGATAATGATTCTTATGGAATGTTTTAAATCATAACCTATGTATTTTCTGGAATTTTGATCAGATAAATCTAAGCCACTGTGGTATAACTGCAAGGACACTCGGTGTTCACTGATGCATAGCTAAGTGAAATATAAACCTTAGGTGATTTGGAGTTGATTGATAAATAAAATAAAATAGAAACACTGTAAATAAATTATTTTTGTAAAACTACACAAAAGTATGATCCCTAATTTTGCAGACAATATCCTGAACTTGCTGTTGATTTTGAGTGGGATTAAACAACTTAAACATATTTGATTTTTTGAAGAGTTTTAGCTTAGCTCATTATAGGATTGTGAGCTTCATATTGACCTAAAAATAAAAAAAGGAAATATGTTGATGAATATCTTTATGTCTAAAAGTAATTTCTCTTGTTGTCTTTTTCCATGTATTATTCATCTTTTGGGAAGAACCATCAATGCCTGAAGGTGCCTTTGTAATGCTTTTTTATTAATGCTGATTCTTCTAGACAATCTATAAATTGATGTGTTCTGCGCCCCATGAAAATAATGATATACGGCTTTGAAAAAAAACAAGAACCCTGTGGTTACATTAGGCCTTGAAAGATGATCATAGCAGGATTGTTCACAAATGTAGAAACTCATGCCACTGTGCAACTTCCTTTAGGAAAGAAAGTTATAATTGGAGAAGCTCAGAGGCTGTTCAGAGGGCGACGGAAAGGAGCCTCCACTAGGGCTAGTGACCATCTTTGCTATATTACAGACACAATGCATTCTCTATCTTAAATTTATTGTAACGTTATTTTCTGGCACTGAATATATAAAACATGTTTGAACAAGAACTTAAATATGGGAAGTGTTTTACAAATTATAAAACAACAGAACTTTTCAGATCAAGTAAGCAAAGATATTCTGTCATTATAAATAGCAACGTTTAAAAGACTGATACAATATGCTGTATTTTTATGAGACTTTTTGTATAGCAGTTTAATATATATAGCTTTAATACTTTTTTGCTCTAGCTTTGGAGAAAACATGCTATTCTTTTAGATGGAGTACTAAATGGAATCATCAGTTTAAATGCAGAACTTGGTTCTTAAATACATGGTCATAAAGGGTGACTCTGTAAAGTAGGTATATATTGTCAGTTAAATAACACCACTTCAATACCTACCTGCCCTTCTGGGGACAGAGTTTTATGAAGCATCCTGCAGGACAGCCAATTTAGGCAGTGGTACAGTAAAGTAAATGGATTCTAGATATCCCTAATTTCAGATGCAGTACTTTCAAATCTAGAGACTGTTAGCAGAAATTAGCTCAACTTACCTTACATTTATAAAAGGCCTTTGAAAAGAACCTTGTAATAACATCCTTTTCACTTAGAACAATCATGTCTATACAATAGAATCTCAAATACTGCATTAGAATGAAAATAAAGCAAAGTGAAGTATAAGAATCTTTTTTTGTCCAATGGAACATGGGGAAGAATCTTTCATTCCCCATCCCTTTCTCATAGACTTATTCCTCCCTCCTCTTTTTTTTTTTTTTTTTTTTAATGCTACTATTACAATACAAATTTTTACCAACTCAATTACAACACTGGAATATACCCAAAGAAAACATACAGGGCAGCCACTTTCCAAACCCAAATTCTTGCGCTAACTAATGTTGATGGCAGCACATTTAGCTACAGTAATTTATATGGCAGTTGAGTCACTGTACTGGAAAGCATACCAAAGAATAATCCAGAAAAACATGAATGTGCCAAAAGAAAGTGAAGAAACAGTCATTTTATTAATTTTAAGAAAGGATTTGAAAAAACTGCATAGAAGCTAGGAAGAAAGAACGCAACTCAATCTCTCTGCTTGTGAAAGAAATAACTACAATTTTGTACGTTATTTAAAGGACTGGTGCCTGAAAATAAGTCTCAAATAATCTGCATGCAGTCAGAAATGGATAATGAACTATGAGAAAAGAGGTAAGAAGTTAGGGTGCTCCCAAGGAGGCTTCATAACAAGAGAAAGGAGAAAGAAAAGTAAAAGATTAGAGAAATAAAGGAAAGAAGGCAAATTCATGTCGGTAAATATTTTAAGTAGTTTCTATTGTAAGTCATTGAAGCTAGTCTTTAACAACTGAACTATGCATTTATCAGTAATTATTTCTGAAGGAAGTATACACAGGTACTTTCAGTTAGCCGTTTTGTACTTGGATGCTGAGGGAATTAACAGTCAGAATTCAGTCCTATGAGTTTGTCAAGGCAATTTCATAATCTCATAGCTCTCCTAATTGCTAGAAAACTGGAGCATATCTTGATTCAAAGTCAGTCTCTGGCTTAGTTAAAGCAGCGCTCTTCTCATGCAAAACTCATGAGTGAACTCTGATAGTTAAAATAGTAATAAGCCTGCAGCATGTTTTTTGTTTTTCCTGCTCTCCATGAGGTTATATAACTTTAGGGTTTCCCAGAATTCTAAATATCATGCAATTGATGAAACCCATAATTTTAATCATAAAAATATGTGAGTGAAATAAAATAGAAAAGCAACTCGTGACATATCCCACAGAACTCAAACAGAAATTAATTTCTAACGTGAAATGTTACATATGTGCATGTATGTACCAATGTATATAATTGTCACACAAATGAATACAAGATATTAGGATTTTACGGTGTAAAGGCTGTAAAAAACTTTGCTGTTACATTTGTTACAGTGAACTGGCTATTTCCGTTATCAAAATTATTCCATTTTAGTGAGAGAAGGTAATTATTGTGATAATAGTCAAAATTGTCTGCACTCGTTTCCCCAGGGGATGTTACTTGGTTGTTAAAAAAGTAACCTAGAGTAACTTTTCATATATAATTGCATAGCTTTGATGACCTACTTCTTCTTTAATCAATTTTCAGAGTGAATCTCTCTGATTTTTTTTTCATTCTATTCTAAAAATACACCAAACTATTGATTTAAGCATAGGCAAGTTTTTCTGTGAATTTGAATGCTTTTTTCCCCCCCAGTTAAACTGTCATCTTGCAGTTGTTCTTCAGTCACCTCAACAACCCATGCTTGGAAACAATCATATCACTGACACATTTCATCAATTAGTTTAATCAGCGAAAAGGAATGTTGTGAAAGGTGTAAAACAAAAAACTCACTGACTGTTTTACACAGTACTTTTGCTGCCAGGACACGAGACAGGAAGTCAAATTTACAAGTTCCATTTTTCATTTTACAGAGCTACTAGAGAAGACTCTCAGAAGAGAGGAAGAAATTGGAGCTCTCCAGGTATACTTTCTGTTTAATAACTAGCTACGCTTTTTGTCTAAGTGTAAATTAGATTAAAATTACTAAATTGTATTACAACATTATGATTTTCTGAACTCCCCTTGTATCTTAAATTCAGCTTTGGAAATATTGCCGCCAAATGCAGACTTGATAGCCTAGTAATACTCACTGCTGAGTTTCTGCCCACCACTTAAGTTGCACATTAGAGAAGATTAAAGTAGTCAGCATTCTCCTATGACTCAATAAATCTAGTCCATCAGTGAAAAGAATGCTGCTTTTAAGTCACACTATATACTGAAGTTGTTCTGTTATGTTATACTGCTGACTTCACTGAAACTGTATGTGAATAGGGGCAGTGCAAATCTGCATTCAGAACTGCAAAAATGCTTTATATTCTACTTCATTGGTTGGGTTAGATTTTCTGGGCTGTGTTGTTTTCTTCTGTATCTCCAAATAAAACTGAAAGTAAAAGATTTTAAGTAATTATTTTAAATCTCTGAAACATTAGATGTCCATAATCACCTTCTTGAGGAAGAAGGGACCAGTCGATATATGCTAGGACTTGATACAATATAGTAAATCCTCATTGTATGGCATCTAGCAGTAAAGCTGCTTGTGCTAAGCACTTTAAATTTGCTCTTAGAAAGTAAGATTTACCCTAGGCTCAGCTTTGGAATAGTATTTAAGCATTACAGTGAAGACTCTCAGAAGAGAGGAAGAAATTGGAGCTCTCCAGGTATACTTTCTGTTTAATAACTAGCTACGCTTTTTGTCTAAGTGTAAATTAGATTAAAATTACTAAATTGTATTACAACATTATGATTTTTCTGAACTCCCTTGTATCTTAAATTCAGCTTTGGAAATATATGCAGCCAAATGCAGACTTGATAGCTAGTAATACTCACTGCTGAGTTTCTGCCCACCACTTAAGTTGCACATTAGAGAAGATTAAAGTAGTCAGCATTCTCCTATGACTCAATAAATCTAGTCCATCAGTGAAAAGAATGCTGCTTTTAAGTCACACTATATACTGAAGTTGTTCTGTTATGTTATACTGCTGACTTCACTGAAACTGTATGTGAATAGGGGCAGTGCAAATCTGCATTCAGAACTGCAAAAATGCTTTATATTCTACTTCATTGGTTGGGTTAGATTTTCTGGGCTGTGTTGTTTTCTTCTGTATCTCCAAATAAAACTGAAAGTAAAAGATTTTAAGTAATTATTTTAAATCTCTGAAACATTAGATGTCCATAATCACCTTCTTGAGGAAGAAGGGACCAGTCGATATATGCTAGGACTTGATACAATATAGTAAATCCTCATTGTATGGCATCTAGCAGTAAAGCTGCTTGTGCTAAGCACTTTAAATTTGCTCTTAGAAAGTAAGATTTACCCTAGGCTCAGCTTTGGAATAGTATTTAAGCATTACAGTCAAAGAAAACATGCTCCTTTGAAATGAAAATGGCTAGGAAAGCAAAACCACGCTGGAATGTCTAAATTGTGAGGCTTGGGAGGCTATTAGGGAGGGTAGTGTACGTATTCTTCAGAATACAGAAGGAAAAAAATAAATTTTTAACAACAAATTACAGTGAACAATACCCAACATGAATATAAAAAAGTTTAGATACAATATGAAGAGTGTATCAATGAAGCAGCATTCTATAAGTGTACTGGATGCAGGACATTTATGAGGGAATTAATGAAGATAAGGCTGTTAAGGAAAATGAAATTATGTATTGACCTGAGTTTTGACTATAGGAGTTTGTTTAAAGATACACCTATAAACAGAAGGCATTTTGAGGGTTAGAGATATCAAAGAGTTAGTGTAGAAACAGTTTGATCCAGTAAGAAGAGACAAATTGCAAGACCCAAAAGTTACACAACGCACCAATCCAGCTGTTTCCTGTTCAAACAAAGATCTTGGCCTAGCTTTCTGGCAGCTCAAGTTCAACAAGGCTGGGAGCTTGTCTGCGCAAGCAGTTTACACAGGTGCATATCTAGTTACATCAATGTAAAAAGATCTCCTTTCATGTGAAGCAATTCTGCATCTGCTTTCATGTGAAGCTCTATAGTTGACAAATTGTTCTAATGATGTTACTTCTGATTGAATGAGGAGTAATTTTATACTGCAGAAAGTTGCATCGTAAGTGTCTTGTGTGCATACATGTGCTTGCCTGTATTTCTGATGGTCTGTCAAGTTTCTGATCAAATCGCTTTATGCCCTTCCCTAACTGGCGGTTCTGGTTAAGTGTGTGACTTGTACTGCTCTGACTGCTATTTTTGTATTCAAATGCTTGATAGCAGTTCTGTACTCCTTCAGGTGCCCATGCTTTCACAGTCAAAGTACTCGGCAAAAACATATATTATTTTTCTAGATAGTGTTATGTCCAGCTTAGTCAATATGTTTCAAAATGTTCCCAGCCTGGGATCCTCTGTTCTTGTAATGTTGTAGTCTAAACTTTACAACTATGTGCTAGCAAAGTTGTAAAAACCAGCTTGTGTCATCATGACTGAATCTCCCCGAGCTGTTGCATCTCAATATATAAAGCATAGGAAGTAAGAGGAAAGTGAGAGTTTCTTTAAATATGGCATTTCCTGGAGCTGAAACTGGCACTCTTACCCTTTTGTTAACCGGGTGACATGGAATACTTGTTTCCTCTGAGCCCCAGTTCAGCAAAGCATGTGTACAGCTGGTTAATGTATGAATGCTTTCATTGAAGTAGATTGCTAGAAGGTCATTGTCAAATTAAGGACCACTAGCAAATAGATTAGTACTCTTTGCCTCCAAGGCCTACAGTCCTTGGATAAGATTCCCCTGGTATTAGGTTCTACTCAGTTAGTCATTGGTTCAGTAGACAATAGGTCATGTTGATTGTTGTTATTTTTTTGTCTACAATTCCTGGGGTACTGTTTTGATAAGTATCTTATCTTTACAGAGAATTATATGTAGTATATACTTGATGCATTTTGTTTGCAGTCTAAACAGACCATATGTGTAAAGCACGTTCAGGAAGTAGGCGGACAGAAAGATTGTATGTTTTAGACTATGGACAGGCGATTGAAAGCAGTCAGGTTATCATGGCTGAAGGAGTTATTTCTTGTTATTTCTTGTTACTTGAGCTGTGAACTAAGACCGTAGTCTTAGAAAAGCTAGAGACATGAGGAAATCTTCTGTCAGAAAACAGTGTATTGCTGTGGGCAAATGATGACTGGGGATACCATGAGGTTCTTTGCCATGTCTCTGCATCACGTAACAAGAATATTCCCCAGAGCTAAGGATGTATGTTTTATTATGCTTTTAGTTTGGTCATTTTTTGAGGGGAGACAAAGAGCACCTTTTGTTAAAAATAATTTGAATGAAGTACAATTAGTGCTTCTACAATGCCGTCAGCTGAAAACCACAAAGGGCAGAAAGAAAAAAGCAGTTTTATGAGGATTGTTCCTGGAAATATTGGGCTAGTAGTTTTCATGTGTTCCTCTAGTCAGGGAATGCGTTGGACTGCAACTAGCATGACAAAGAGAAAATAATACTTCGTTAAGCAGACAGTGGGAATCTTTATAGCTACATCTATCTATGTGAACCTGACGTCTCATATTATGTGTCAAGATGGAAACTATATGTAATACATGAGGTTCTTTGATACAGAGTGTTTTGGGAGCTAGAAGGCTGACGCTTTGGGTGACATCACTGTATTCTTGGTTTTTCATTTTGAATTTGTTGCATTCTTTTGACTAGAGTTTGTGTTATACATCAATTTATATTTATATATGAGTTTTTAAAGTTCTATATGAGAGTTTATATATGTTCTAGATAATATCTATGTTCTCATTACACATATGCTTGCTCTCTGTTATTACATGTGCACTCATACTCATCATAATATAATTTTTAGCTTGTGAGGAGCCTAGATCACTTTCTACTTTCTTTCTGATAGCCACTCCAAGAATATAACCTCACTTTTTTTCTTACTTCATTGGAAGAAAAAAGGCTCTGATGATAAGGTTTTCACCTTCCTTTTTGTGAAAGCTGTTCCATGGTACAAAAGGTTGCATTCGTGAAAATAATATGCTAGGTATGATAATTGCAATATTCAGCTGTATGGGTTTTCTCTGGGAAAACATTTGCAAACCATTTTCATTTGCTTTGGAATTAGTGACGTGCTAATATAAATTAAAAAAAATTTGTAAAATACAGAATCTTAATTTGAAAATATAAATATATTGATAATGTATAAATTATCCATGGTAAATTTCCTAATACGTTACATGCTAGTCTTACAGAAAATTATCTGCTGAGATTGTAAGAGTTTATTCAGTTTGTAGAATTTGGCAGCTAGATCATGCACCTTATTTAATACGAGTAATTTTGAAAACACTATTTATTCTACCATTAGAATCATCCTACTAATACACTCACTCTAAGACTTTTTTTTTCCAAAGTAGTCCTTTTAACTTAAGGGATTATATCTGAATTGCTGTTCACTATCACCACAAATTTATGAGATCTGAAAATACCATCTTTTTTATAGTAGTGGTGAGTTTGGGTTTTGTTGCAGAATCTTTAAATAAATATGAGTGTTTGTAACAGCCACTACAATTTTGTGGAGGAGCAAGCATCTCAAAATAAATATTTTTGAGATTTTCACATAATTTTTTTGTCATAACTTTGTTCTGATGTACTGAAATACTCAGTCTGTATTTCAGACCTGCTTCCAACAAAGAGTAAAGACTTTAGTATTAAATACACTACCTTTTCTGAGAAAAAATTTTAGTGAAAGTTGGTAAACTTTTGCTTATGCAACATTGTAGTTGGAATCCCCAACTACCATGCATTGTGATGGGCACTGGGCAAACATTTCTTAATAGACAAGTCAAAGTTAAGTATTCTAGAACCTCATATTATTGTGGTTTTACTGATAAGAAACTAAAACATAGGTGAAATAAATCTATAGGGAATCTGAGACATGTATCTGAGTTTTTTGGTTCCCAGCTCTTAGGGATAAGATCATCCTCCATTTTGTTAAAAAAAAAAAAAAGTTTACAATTTATTTTTTTTTTTAACCTGCTACTTTGAAAGAGTCCTGTAACTGACAGTGATGAGGAGTGCATTTTTTTTTCTCTCCATATGTTTGTTTTATTATTTATCATCGGTTCATGCACGGGGACTTTCAAACCACTGTGTATGCAGTTCCAACATGAGCCAGTTTAATGGCATGCACTACTGGCAAAATGTTAGCATTTTTTTAAACAATTGCATTTTGATAGTCTACTAGATTTCCATCAAACTTGTTTATGTGTGCATTCCTGTCTTCCCTTTAGATATTTCCTTATACATACTTTCCTGAACAGTCTTGCTTGGGTTTTTTGTACATCTTCAAAACCAATTAGTCTTTTCCAGACACTATTTTATTTATTTATTTTCAGCCTCACTTGATGCAGTTATTTTTCCTACAGTATATTGTCTCGCTTTCTGCCTATGGTTTGGAATTGTAATCAAAGGTGCAACTATTGTATTGACGAAAACTAACATCATTTGCACCCCAAACATCATTCAGTGAATGAGCTTTAAACATTTCACTAGGGTGAACTGTGTCTTTTCTTCAGAAGATTAGATGAATAAAAGTTAGCCCTTTAGTAATCCAAGGGACATTGATTTTACACAAATATGTAAATACTGGTTTTCCACAAATACATACACCTGTTCAGTTAGTAAACATAACCATTATTTTAAAGTTTTTTAAGGCAGTAATAAGTCTAGAAGAGTCTTTGTAACTCATTTCCACCTAGTCTTAAAAAAAGAAAAATACTTTTTGCGTTCTTGCAAATGGCAAGAGCTGTTTCTGGCTCCCAAATTCTTCCATTGGTCTAAGAAATTTTTATTGTACCTGTTGCTTCCAAAACAGTGAAGTCAGTTCAGACTTGCATGTCTTTGGATGCTGTAGGAATAAATTCAGATTATTACAATGATTTTTACCTGTTAGGGAGGGATAGAACAGGGAAAAGTGTAAGGATTCTTAGCCTAATCCACCCAGAAAGGAAAAAAAAAAAATCCTCTCCCATACTTTCAAAAAGCTAATATTTGAGCAAGGTAAGAGTTCCTGTAATGTCTTAATGGTCAGGTACTCTAAATGTGTGTTTTCTCACACATGATTAAAATATCATATCTAGTCAGGACATAGTGCCAGAGTACATGATCTTGATTTTACTAGCTTAATATTTTTCTTAAAGATACTTTTAAATGAATCATAGAATGGTTTGTGTTGGAAGGAACCTTAAAGATCGTCTAGTTCCAACCGCCCTGCCATGGGCAGGAACATCTTCCACTAGACCGGATTGCTTAAAGCCCCATCCAAAATATATACAGTAAATTCATAAGTTCTGGGTTGTCTACATTTTGTGCTGGATTAAAACTGACACAAGCTTATTTTATTTGCATTTTATTTTTTTCTGACATTAGACTTTGACTAACATCATCTTGTTATTAATAAAACATTCTTCAGAGCTCTTTCTGGATAACAGAATAATGATATGGAATTTACTTTTTAGTTTTCTAAGGAAATGCCTAAAAGAAAACTAAACCAGATGCTAATGTGACATGAACTCCAAAACATGCTAGATTTACAGTCACAGATGATCAAAAAAGAAATCAAACTTTGCGATACAGAAGAGTAAAATCAGTAATATTAAAAATCTAATTGATTTGAAATCTACTATTTGAAAAAATATGGAGTAAATTTTTTCAAATTCTTTCTTACCTTGTTTCTGGGGAATTTATTTTCTTTGGAACAGATTTTGAAGTGAGATAGTATGATAAATGGGTCAGAGGTCCAATTAAGTACAGCAGTTCCTATTCAGTGAGATTTTTACAAAATGCCGTACATATGACCAGCAAAAACCCAAAATGAATCCTTTCCATCATTGTTCAACTTATGTTGCATTTATATTCTTTACTTTCTAATGGCATCTTGTACTTTATTTTTAGGAACGCATTATGGCCTTAGAAGTGGTAAGTTTCTTAAATTCATTTCCAAACCAATCACAATGACATTGCTGATAATTTTTCTAAATGATGAAAAATATTATTTTTATATATTTTTTAAAAAAAATGTTGCAGTTCTGGGTTTTTAACTGTCATTTTACTTTTAAGAGAAGATGTGATAATTTTACACTGCATCTTTCTGTGTAGGTTTTTACTACAGTATTTGAACACTGGTTATATGAAATACAGTGTAATGTTGTAGTTTTTCTGTACAGTTCAATCCTCATCCCAACCTAGGGAAGAGAAATGTTGTCGATTTGAGCCATATAAAGGATGCTATTTTTCTACTGCTAACACTTCTAATGGTCGAGGTCCATGTGATAGATCTAATAATTTCAGGTGACTGTTAATGTGTGCTTTTTACATGTTTAAAAGGTGCAGACAGAATCAGTTCATCTGCCCACATCAACTAAAAGCATGAAGGGATACCATTTTAATGATTAATTGATATAATTTAATAAGATATTAAGCTGGAAGGACAAAAGCCTTCATGCATGTACATGCCATCAATGCAGCTGGGTTATCCGGATGTCCCAAGCTATTAAGTTTATCAGGTGGAATAGTTGAGATGGGTCTTGGCTTGCCCTAGCATTTCTGAACTGTGCTTCTTTCCTCTTTTGTAGGAATGTCCAATAAGACAACACACAATAGTATGTATCAGGCCTGTAATTTCTTTTCATTGGAAACCCAGAAAGTTTAATCTAAAGAAACCAGTACTGAGACAATATCAAGGCTGCAAATATAAACTTTTAAAATTTGCTTATGCAAATTATTATTTTATCATTCCTGATATCCTTCTGTGCATCTCTGAAAACAGCTTCCGATTTCAAAAATATATTTAAAATATATTCAATATGTTAAAAAAAGCTTGCATTCACACATAAAAGGCCCTTTGTAAATCGAAGTGCAGTGTTAGAACTCCTGCCTTGTGGGAGCACGGAGCTAATGCTCAAATTCAGTGTCCTGGCACTTCACACAGTGCTGTGTGAGTGTAAAGGGTTGCCAGGACATTAGTTCTGTTCAGCAGTGTCGTGGTTTAACCTCAGTGGGCAACTGAGCACCACACTAGGAAGGAAATTAACTCTATCCCCGCCGAAACCAGGACAAGGAGCATCTCTTATTCATGGTTTTCTTACATGACAACCAGTCAGGCATGTATTCACTGCCATCCGTTTCTCACAAACTGTGAGTTAAACTGCCTGAAAATGCCTTGTTCTTTCTGCTCCCAGAGCTGTTTTGACACGGGCAGAGAGTAACTGCTTGCAAATAGCACAACGTCATGCAAATTCAATCCATATTTTGTGACAATGTTTGTTTCCATTTTTTCTGGAGCCTTTCTACTTTCTATACTTGTAATCTCTTCTACTTTAAGAAGGAAGATTTGTAAATTATTGTTCAGATAGAAGAGGAAGAGGATTATTATCGTCAGTAAAATATAATTTTCTTTCTTAATGCAAGTTGGGAGGTAACACCTGAATGCAAATTTGTGATGCTAAATCCTAGAGCTTGAAATCAGTCACTGCTTTTGTTATTGCTGACATTGGAAGATGTGTAATGTTAAGCCCTGAGATTTCAGGCAAGGAAAGTATGGTCATCACTAAGGCTGTCAAATGCTCCCAAGGCACTCATTTTACTTTTGCCATAAAGTTCTTCTATGTCATCAGGCAAATCACTTAAACTAAATTTTTCACAGACTGTTAATTACTTTGTGTTCCTCATTTTCTGGGTATCTGACTTTGTGCCTTTTGAGGCCTGATTTTCAGAAATGCAAAGTTTTAGTAATAGCTAAATTCAGTGGGAGCTCTGGCTGTATGTATTGCTAAGTATACTCAAAGTCAGATATTAGATAGCTGATAGTGAATACTTTAAAATAATAAGTGGTTTTGACCTTTATATCTCTGTTTCAGTTCTGAGGATGATAGCGTTCTCTCTCTCTCCTCCCCCCCTTCACTGATCTTAAAAAGAATACACACAGAGTAATACTTATGTGGTCTGAATGTGTGAGGATGAGCTATGATAGAAAAGCCCTTGAGCAAAAGAATTAATAAGGCTTGCTGTTTAAGGGATCCTTAAGAATCCTTACGTTTATGGTGTGTATGTCTACATAGCTGTACATCTATGCAGCATTTATAACAATGAGTACATAATAGTTATGTCACTCATATATTTGTATAATTTTCTTAGCATCTGTTATTTGAGTGCTCAGAGCGCAACATCAAAAAAGTACAACCAGTCACATATTTTGTGATTTGATTGAGGTTTAGAGAATGGAAATAGAATAGAGACATAAGGTATTTAATTCAAATTCAAATAGAATCCTTAGAGAAAAAAAATGTTGAAGTTGTGTAGACAAAGCATTTTCTTAGGAGAATTTTGCCAGAAAGGTGGGAGTTCATGAGATTCACGAAATGCAAGATACAAAAAGGGGCAAAGAGGGAAAAGCCCCAACACACACGTACACAAGCTATAAAAAATGCATAGGAAAGCATCAGCTCTCCAGAGCTGTTTTTAAACTGTGAGACCATGGAATGGCTGGATTAGGAATCTCATCTGCATTTTCTTCCACAGCATTCTTATTCTGCCTAATACTGGGAAGAAATTGCTCTGCGCAGGAATAGATGAAGTTTAGTGCAGAGCTGTCTGAGATATACCACAAGTGTGAAGCCTCTTGCAGCCACTTTTTAAATTTTTTCTACCCTGCACATACCTTTTTAAGCAACAGAAAAGACTCATACGTCTAACAGTAAATGCATTTTTTAAATCTTTAGATTAAGATTTTAACCTAGAGAAACCGTTTTACGCAATGACCTGAAAACTGTACGTGTACATATTTTGAGAGGTATATTTGGCAGCCCACTCTCCTCCCTTCCTCTACAGTCTACTCATTTCTGCCTCCTGCACTTGCCAGTAAAATTGTTGTAGTAGCCATGTGATGAAGTCAGCAACTTAGGCAAAAAAAAAAAAAATTGGGAAAGAAATGTGACAGGAACCTGGCAGATTCTTTTCAGAGCTCTGGGTGAATAAACCTTCCAGGCCTAACTTAATCTAACTCAGTGATTTTGTGAGTTGCAGCAAACTAGAGGGGGTCCCTTGCATCATCTCTCAGCCCTGTCAGCTACTTCTCCTCTCAGCAGTCTGTTTGAGCTGGAAGCTCCATCTCCTACCCATGACTCATCCTGTCTGCTATACTCGACAGTTTCTTGGATCTTCTTTTTCCTTAGTCAACTCACTTGGTTCCCAAGGAAAGTGCTGTATTACCATCCTCCTTCAGGACATGACACCTGATCTGGTCACTCCCTTAAGGAACCTGAGAACAAATAGTCCCCATCACAAGAAGCTTTTGAATTTTTTGGCTCTTTTTCCTCAAGCAGATCAGTTCTACAGTATGATTCAGCAGATAGGTACACCGCTTCTTGCTCCAGCAGGGTGCACAGGACAGGAGGAGAAGCTAGAAGGTAAGAAGGAATTACAGGGGTACTTAGACAGACTCACTAGTGGATATAAAAGGACGTGAAGAACCAAGGTGTATTCTAGAATAATCAATCCTTCAACTCATGAGAAGTGCCAGGGGAGTAACAAGTACAGGCAAAACTGAGGTTTTGAGTACCTAGAGATTATGTGTTTTGTTTGGCTCTTTTTTTTGTTTAAAACTGTTTAATAAAGTGAATTTAATTATTACATAGCTATTAACAAGTAATTTTCCTGATTACTTTAGTAATCAATTACATAGTCTGATGTTTTGCCAGAATGAATACAATTTATCTTTAAATAAGGTGATTTAGTTTATTCATGATTGTAGCGTAGTTCTTACATACAGGATTTGGCTCTATATTATTTATAGACAAAGGTGTATGATTTTCTTGGGAAAAAGTCTGTATTGTATTCTCAGATGTAGCTACAATGAGAAGTGTATCTAATTCTCATAAAAGAGGTTGTCACGTCCCACCTAGGAGAAGGGGAGAGTGACTAAGATCCGCAAATCCCCTCGGCGTGGATTAAGGTGAAATAACACTCAAGGTCCAAAAACAAACTCCAACTTTAATGGCACGAACACCTCTATAAACATCAACCCTCTATGTCTTAATACATAATACAAGCTAAGCGGCTTTGTGAGGAGTTGAGGTAGGCCTTGTATTGCTTAACAACATCAAAACAGAGAGCGAGAAGGGGGAGGAGAAGAGAGAGAGAAATAAAGAAATCACCGATCCTGGATCCAGCGTTGGACCTGCCAACGGGGGGTGTCGGTGTGGAGAGTGTCCCCCCGGAGGCTTACGTGCGCCCCTATTTATTGGCTCCAGCCCAAGGTTTCTGGAACCTTCTCTCACCCCAGCTCCAGGAGTGGTTGAGACATTAGTCAGTCAAGGAGAGTGACACTGGGCCCCTCCCCGTGGCTGGCTTTTGGAGCTTTCTCTGGGGGCATTGTCTGTTCTCACAGCACAGCCAGGTGGGCCTGGTCCCTTACAGAGGTCAGGGTGCATTTTGTAGGTGCATGCTGCTACTATGCTGTGCTTGTGACTTTAGTGGGTTTCTGTAAACTACATCATGTGCTTTGTGAGTGTAAGCTGCAAGTCAGATTCCTCTGCCTTAGTAGTACTAGTCTGATATAAAAGACTGGGAAATTTAATTTGAAATCAACCACGTCCTGAAGCTATTCCAGTGAACATATGCATTCTACATCCTTTGATCAATAAGACAGCTTGCTGCTTTCAGTAGAGAACCCAGAAGTGAGGTTACCATTTGCTTAGAATACTTGGATCAGACTTTTCTGGACATGATTCCACTTTTTGTTATGATGTCATAAATCTAGGCTAACTCCAGTAATGCTGTAAGCATTCTGCAAAATTGTTATTAATATGAATTTCCTTTTCAGTAAGAACACATGTATTTTGTTGTAACTCATATTTTATGTTCATGAAAGTAAGGTTTTGAATACCAGTAAAACAAATTTCTATCTGCACACACTCAGC